AAAGAAACACGACGACACAAGATATCTAGTCAAATCTGACATGATTACAGGCGACCATTTAGCTACAATTGTAGAAATTCTTTTGATCTCATAGCTTCAAACTTCATCCAGCAATCAAATTAATTGAAACGGTTAATCAAATATATTTCAGACAAAACATGCTCGCTTCCATAAATATAAAATAATAGTTGGTTTAGCTTTTGTTTATTACCACGAATCAATCAAAATGAAAATTAATTTTTACCACTTCTTTCACTTAAATTCTTTTATCGGTTGTATGTAGCTTTTTTTATAAAAATGTTGCTCTTTGTAAATATAACAGTGCTCAATGCGGTAGGGAGTTTGTAGGCCAGTAATAGAAGCTTCTGTGTCATTAAATTGAAATGGTCACTAAGAGTAATACTGAAAAAAAACTGGATGAAAGAATTCCGTAGTATAATAAAAAAGTAATAAGCAGTTGGCGAAGAGGATTTCGGCAAATAGGTAACAAATAATACGCGTATTCAAACGACACTAAGTATAACACTATGTAATTATCTCTACTTCTTGAAAATATAATTCATATAAAGTAATAAAACTACTGGGGGACGATGATATTGTTCATTTCAGTGATTATTGTCGCTAAAGCAAATGGTGTTTTTGATCGATGAAGAACATCTATCTTATACTTTGATGAAACACAGTGGATAATTATACGAATTCACTGTACCAGGTCTTGTAAGCCTAAACAATTCAATGTGAACCGTGTCTGTAGATTGTACAAGAACCTGCTTCTTTTAGCCTAGAACCTTTCTTGCGAAAATAGGAAATAGACAAGTTTGATACGGGTGATTTTTAAGCGCGTTGATACTAAACATATGTTTCATCAATAGCGTAGTTATATTCATTTTTATTTAGTACTATTTTGAATGTGTTTATTTAATCATTTGTTTATGTATTTATCCATTCATTATTTTGCTTGTGAATATTTAGACGTTATCTACATTAGTAACACAGTATAAACGGTAATTGTAATTTAATGAAATAATCATGGAATCCGTTATATAGTTAAAAAAGTTATAAGTATTTTAACGTGTTGGCTACATATTATAAAACGGAAAATAATAAAAGATTCGATACGTTTAAAGGAATGTTGGAAGACAAAATTAATGGTAACAAAAATTACTGGACCAATGAAACAAGACTTTTACTAATTCGGGATTCAAACAACGGTGTTAAAGACTATAATGTGCGTCAACTATTACCGGATAATAATATTTGGAATATGGTATCGTATGGTGACCGGTTGCAGCCATTTCAAACCCGCAAGAAATTATATCGTTTTATCATAAAATGTCGCGGGCAACTTACAATCCCGCGAGATCTTTTGTCGAAATCGTACCAAATATCGCGGAGAACATATAAACCTCGATATTTTATAACACTTGTTGGAAACAGCAATGAACATTTGGACTCCATTGGCCAGTAGCGTCCATGGTTTGGCTCTGCATTTTATTCTCGTATGTCTATAAAAAGTCAAAAAGCTGAAAGAAATCCACTACATTATTTACAATTGTTGTAGGAACTCTACAAAAGTCGAGGGGAAAGTTATAGTCTGCGTATTGTGTGTTCCTTAATACATGTAACGGTCTCAAAAAATTTTGCGGCGAGTATTAGTAATTTTCAGCAGCGACTTTTGTTAGACATTGCATAAAAAGTCGAGGTTTAAAGATCAAAGTCGACTTTTAACAAGGTATGCATCAAAACAAAATAACGCAAATTAAAATGGCTACCTAAAGTAGGCAGATGTTTGCGTGGCTTAGTATACCATGTAGACATAAAATGTCGCGGTTTCCTTCGTTACTTTTTTTCGACAGAAGTGTCACAAAAAATCTTTAGAGATTCCATAAATTGCGACATATTAAACAATTTCGCATAAAAAAATCTCGCGGACTTAAAAGTTGCCCGCCACATTTTATAAACTTACGGTAAAATTTCTTGCGGCTTTAAAATGGACGCTACCTGCCACCATATGTAATGTATTATTGTGTTTGTATTCTCCAAACACTAAGACGCAGATAAATAATTGCTTTTATTAAATGAATTTTAAACGTGATTTAATATTATTAACAAATATATTAAGTGAAGTTTTATCAGTAAATATAAGTATTCAGACAGACTATCTTTGGACATACGGAGCCCCTAAGGTGACATTTTCGACACTTTTTCCCCTGCATTTAATTCGTTTTTACGAAAAATTAATTCGTAATTACGAAATATTAATTCGTTTTTACGAAACAATAATTTGTTTTTTGAGAAATAATTATTCTTTTTTACGAAATATTAATTCGTTTTTACGAAATATTAATTTCAAAACTCAATATCGACAAAACGAAACAGAAACAAAAAACTGTCCGTGTTTGGATTTGAAGCACAGGACCCCCATTTTAACAAAATTTTCCTAGCGCGTGTATTATCACGGCAATTATTTTGGCGGCAACGCTATTAACAGGCGATTTTTTAAATTTATATACAATAGTGTTAAGTGGAGAAAAAATCACTATTTATATTGCATTGACATGCCTTATATTTAGTCAGGAACTTAGTTTCAAGACCTTCTTTAAAAATATTACCAAAACTCTTTGACATTCTAGAAAAATATAATTCGTTTTTACATAACTCGTTTTTACATAATATTATTTCGTATTTATAATTACGAATTTATATTTCGTAAAAACTAATCAATATTTCGTAAAAATGAATCAATATTTCGTAAAAACGAATCAATATTTCGTAAAAACGAAATAATATTTCGTAATTACGAATTAAGTTCCGGGGAAAAAAAGTTGGAAAATGTCATCTTAGTGGCTCCGTGATGATTTTTTTATTGTTTGTTTTTTCTCAATGATACTAGATTATATTTACTTAACTTTCATATCATGTATAAGCTTCTATACATGTATATACATATGTCACTGAACCGTTCACTACATTGGGGGGAGATGTTAAGCGGTCGAATAGCTCATTCGGTACAGCCGCGGAACAGTATTCCGAGGGTCCAGGGTTGGAGTCTCCCCATCAAGGTGCACATTTTTTTACCACGCTTTGACACATGTTTTTGTAAAATGCAGGGATTATTGAATGTAATACGGAGGTACTGTATGTGTACAAGTTGGAATTATTCTGTTTTAATCTATTTTTATTTCTTAATTTTGTAGCTGTTTTGTCAAAATGTATTACATCATGCAATGAAATATTTTTTTTTAAAGATGGAAGAAAGAAATTATCATGGTAATGTGTGAAGACGATATCATTTCGCTATTGTAACATGTGTGTTATTGAATGGAAAAAAAACCTGCTTTGATAACAAGCACATATTTACCCAAAATGACCATAATGCGTATATTTAGATAAAGATTCATACTATTTCCTCTAGAATTAGTTAAGTGTTATCACTAAACAATGCGTTTATCAGCAAACGGGTTTGTGTAACGAATTGTCTTAGCTTTGAACTCGGAGCTAAGATTTTTGAGTACAAAAATAAATGGTACTGTGCTACCAACATTATAGAACCCGGTCGACCTCATGAAACTGCAGGCATGCTTGGCACTATACTGGTGGCAAATGCTATTCGTTTTCGGAAAGTACCTTGTTAAGTTTAACTGTTTCTTGTCGTGGCATTAATCTTAAAATTGATATAATAAGTATAGATAAGACGTTGACATTGAACATAGTCAGTTCCTCTTTACAATGTTTGCGAATATAAGGTGGCGCTATGATTAACTGTCACGTATTATATAAGTTATTATGCATGTTGTTGCTTCAATACAATTTTGTAATGATTCCCAGAAGTGATGTTCATAATCAGAATCAGTTTTAACGTTCTACTAAACTGTGTTGAAATTTATACTAATATTGTTTTTATTTGAGCATTAAGAAATCAAATAATGATTAAACAAAACTGTTTACTTTAATTTACCCCGTTTATTCACGGAAGCGACTTTCTAACGTTTGTGTTTGCGTTGAAGTTTAGCAAATGGATGTTTCATTGTGCATATAAAACGAACATTGTTTTTGCATAATATATGCACGGCTGACGCAAATCCATTAAGATATCCATTTGTTTATCAATGAACTGATATATTTGAACCCAGCTCTATCTAACATGTTGTAAAATTTAGTCAAAAGTTCCTACATTTTTTTCCATAATATGCTACATGTATAAAATCTTATTTGTTCAGATGTAAAATTTATGCAAGTAATCAGCATATCAAATATTTGATTTAATACTTCAGCATTTCGCCATATTCCCCAGAATATATTCTCTATTCTTTATTTAAATTCAAAACTTTATTTAAATATTTTTGTTCTTCGTAACATTTTAAACAAAATCATTTGGAAAAAAAAAACTTACTTAAATCGAATACTAGTTAAAAACAATATTTTACTTTGTAATAGAAATTGTTTGGAGTTATGAAACAATCTTGAAACAGAAGTTTTCTTATTCTACTACTCTAGATAATAATGTTCTAACAAATTTATTCATTTTAATTATTTATCTGATTTCCCTTCTCTGTATTATTCTAACCAAATACGTGCATATTTTTTATTGCAAGTACATTATGTGTGGAAAGGAATTTACATATTTTCCAGCACTATCTTATTTTTTTTCACGCAAATTTCGTAAATGCAAGTTCTTAAAATAAATAGATTCTATTTTTTAAATAAATGCTTGTTCTTACATTATCGTGTTACCGTGAGACTCAGTGTGAACAACCAAACATACTCAGTAAAACTTATAAAATATTGGACCAGCAAATGAAAAACCATAGATTTACATCGGATTTATATAATTTCCAAAATAAAAATAAATATACATAAAAATAAAGCCATATTGACCAACAATGTACATATGTGAAAACCTTATGCATCAACAGTTATTTAGAAATTACATATCAGTAAAATTTATTCTAAAATTACAAAAAGATAGAAAAAACACAACACACAAGAAAAATAAATACCTTTGGAAGTCGTCACTGCTTTTTTAAAACTTCCCAGTCGTCTTGATTTTTTCCGAGGATTATTTACAAAAGTTATAAAAGTCTCGATAAAAATGAAATAGTTAATTCAATGCTGTTGTTTTAAGGACGTCTACGCATGCGCGTTTATGAATCCAGGTCTTTGATCTAGGTCACTAGCAATGTAATGGCTCTGAAACAGGTAACTTAAACGGTTATCTGTGAGTACACAACAACTGGATATATTTTGTTACCATTAAATAGCTTCTGCCAATAAAAATATTTCAATATTCCTTTTCACTGGTACTGACATGGAAATGTTGATCAATGACAAGTATATCTAAATATCGGTAGTATTTTAGATTTTATGTAAAATCAATAAGGGTGTTTTAATGTGAATAAAAAATCCTTTGTTTGTTGCAGTTGACCACAAAAGAGTCCTAGTAAATAACTTGGTTCCCAACCAGATGCCGAGTACTGTCTGTTTGAACTATTTGTGGCATTCAATTTTTTTCGGGGAAATTTGATAAAATACAACATAAACAATTTTCTTTAGCAGATGACGATTTTTTTCCTTAGCAAACAGAGGGTTTAACTAAAAGACAACACGACTTTGAAATCCTTGGATATGGGTGACAGCCGCATACCGAATGGAATTAGTCTCATGACTACGGAATAAAATCTAAATAATCTGTGCTCCTGTTTAAAAGCCTGAAAACGAAACGCAGACTGAAAATTTATAATTATATATAATATCGACTTAACATTTTGTTTTGTTTTCCAATAAATAGAGATGCATGGCCCGTTATACCTTCTGCTCTGTAATATTTTATACACATCGGAATATAGATACAAATAAAAATAGCAATCTATGCATATTAATTAGCGTGAGCGTACCTGGCATTTTACATCATAGATCTTTGGTTACAATTAAGTTTAACACATTAAAGCTACATGATAAGTCAAAGTACTTCAATAAAATAAAACTTGAGAAAAAGTACTAAGATGTAAGGAAAAGTAAAAAGTTTTAAGATTCAAAGTTCTATTTTAAATATAATGTGTTATTAATGACTGATTATTTAGTATTTACAACTATGTTTCTACTGCGTAACTTACGCAGTTAAGGCTATATATGCATATTTTGACCACATTTTTTGTTATTTACGTGGTTTGTTAGTGCCATTGATAATGTGTAAATTGCTTCCTTTTGGTTAATTCACAATATTGCACATTCAAATACATTTTAAAAATGTTCATTAAAATTAGCATGAATCTGGAGGCGTGTGCTTTAAAATTAAGCTCGGCGTCGGAATTCAATAACAGGCTTAGGTTGCATTCACTGTATTCAAACAGATTGCTGTTCTTTTTCATTCAATTCGATAATTGAATTTTGTGAAATGTTATAATTTGTTTGAACGACTGTGTTAAAAATAGATATCATCAATTAAAGATAATGAACACAAAAATCGATTGATTAGTCGAGTCCAAATTGATTCAGCAAACAAAATATGATTTCATTTACAAAATTAGTAAGGCCTCTGTTGAATTGACAAAATATCTTTTTTTGTGCGCTTAAAATGAAATTATTAAATTTTAAATATTTCGTGATTGCATACTCGTTGAGATACCAATAAAATGATTGTTTTTCTATGCAGAAGACTGTGTAATGAACTTATTTAATCAGATAAATACATTAATAAAGCACGTCTACAGTAAATATAAGTGATAAATGCTAATGTCCATGGACTTTGTCAATGTATATTGATTAGGCATTAAAATACTGAAAGCGGAAACGCATGGAAATTGTAAGAAAAATATTTTGAAGTTAAAATAAACAAAGGTCAAACAATTCTTTATGGAAGATGGAAAATAATTATTTAGTACTGCGATTGCAATGTGATATCCTGTTATTTAATTGATACATCTAAATTATAAATAATGCCTCTGAAAATAATAGAGTGCTTCCTAACTTTTTAGAGTGCGATGATTTTTTCTCTTAATGTTCGGACTTTAAATGTTACCTGTTTTTGTAATATTAATATAAAAGCAAACATAATGCGATAGCGTAATAACTTGAAATAGACAAGGTAACGCTTAATGAGGCATAAGGATGCTGAAAGAGGCGTAACATCGCATAAAATGATTAAGCTACTCGATCAGAGGCGTTAGTCGCAAAAATAGGGGTCATAGCGCGAAACAAAAGGCACAGAAATTCGTTATAACGACAAGTCAAGACAAATATCAGTAAATAAGGAGGTAATATCACCTTTTTATGATTCAACTACTATATTTGACATAAATGTTAACCATGGTAAGCCGTTTTATCGCGAGGACGAGCAAGGTGTGTAGGTTAAATGTTAAGGTTTCAGTAAGAAATCATAATACAACGATTGTTCAGATCAAATTTTGAATACTAGTATGCACTGTGGAATCTTAATTTATTTCATTTTGTACAAAAGTTCACAATCGTAATTTGCTACATGTCTTGCCAGTATTATCTAGCTAAAGGTCAAGGCCATCAGATTTAATTAAATGCCCAGGTACTCGGGACTTATCTTATACAAACATGGTTGTATATAAGTGATCTTATAACAAATGTTAACTAATCTGAAACGTAGTGGCACGTGCATGATGTAAATCTCTTGGTCAAACTTTGAAATTAGAAAGAACTGCTTGTCCGGAGCAAAACCTCTACATAAATAAAGGTACTTTTAAGTAACATGGTATAAATGTGCACCATCATGAGCCAGAGTCATGAGAGTTGCGTATAAAGTTCAAGGCCAGGATCAAGGGCCAATATTAAAACATTACTATATGGACAATTTTATTGTTCTGAAATGAATGAGTTATATCACATATATGAAAATCATTAGTCTTATCAGTTGTATATATGCAAGGTCAAGGTGAGCAGGCCGAGGTCAGCAGAAAGTAATTATTGAAGTTGTGTGTTTTGTCTTCTACACGCGTGTATAGATAAAGGTATTACTTGACGCATGTGTTACCAACAGAAGACAAAATTATGTGCAAATAAGCCAGGAATGTTAATCAAAAGTCAATGGGACACTTAAAGATCACATTTCTATGACAAACTGTGTGACACAACTTTTTTTATTGTTATTATTATTTTCATTTTCTTCTCTTTTTTTATTAAAAGGGAAAATGAATATACAAAAAACCAAGTAAAAACTTTCGAAAAATTATTAGTTTAGATCAATTTTGAACTTAAAAACATGCACTGATCATATAAAGTGAAATAATAAAGACGTAACTCCATCATGGAAAGGAATTAATATAAGTGTTATGCTTGATTTCCAATCCATATATATTGTGATGTAAAAATGTTACATGCTTGTAAAAATTGATGAATAAAATATGTTTAAACTAAAGATCACAGGATAGTGAAATTCAATAAAGATGCAGCATTACATAATTGTTCATTACTTTTAAGTATTGTTAAGCATAGGGATGTGCACAAAGTTCAGGTCCGTTTGGCTACAGTCAAGGTCATATACACTACACAGAGGTCCATGGCCATTAAAACTTTGTAAATATGAGCATTGGCAATTTAGTCATCATGTTTTGTAATATTTTAATATTAATATTTTTTTATAGTATTGACAGTTTCAAGTTTTTTTACCTTTGTCATTTGCGTTATTTGTGACAAAGTGTTTTCCTAACAAGAAACAGCGTATTACCTGTAGGAACCGGAATTTGGAATGGTATACATTTGAAATTACGTAAGTGAACACTTTGTAACATCTCCGCAAGTATTGGAGATGAATACCACTGTCTATTCAATGCAATGAACTATTTGAACTGAGAAATAGAATGTTAGATCTCAGTTACGTAAGACACCCAAATGTATTTAATTTTAAATCTCATAACTCATTGTAATGAATACTGACATTTTTATATTCACAAAATTTGACATTACATATTATTTCTACATACTTGTTTCTCACGTCCCTTGAAAATGCGTGTTATTTTGTGAAGATGATTGGTATTTTTCCATTTTAATACCATGCCTCTGTATGTACTGTAAGTATTTACTTTGTAATTATGCTATAATTTGTATACATGGATTTTGTTCTAAAATAAACTTTTAAGCAAACTTCAGGTGATACCAGAAACGTAACCGATGATCACCAACTGTATTCCGTTTAAAACTTGTTTGTTCATTCACATTACATTCAGACGTATTGTATAAGGTTTGAAAAAATATATTGTTTAGATTCGATTACCATTATTTGACAATGTAAAAACAAATAGTTCGAGTAAATTACTGTTATAAATTTAGGCACATGTTTCTTCCTTTTTTCGTAATATGCTATATAACACCGCACTTTTGGGTTCAACGCACGTTTCATTAATTTTATCACTTGAAATATTTAAACCTTGTGTTTACTCAAAGTACTCTGGTACATAAATTGTAGATGTATTCCTAAAATTAAAAGATGCTGCGAAAATATCCCGTTCTGTCAGTCATTTACTTGATAACTTTTGGGGCCATATTGAGCCCCATATTACATATGATGATGATGAAATGCAGATAATATTGTTTTCCAAAGAACTATAAATACTGTAATACTTAGTATACTCTATTGCAATGTTCTGGTAAAATATCAAGTTTTTCGATCGGACTATAAATAGTGACTTTTACTAATACATAATTAAGCTTATCAACAAAGTTTTTTGTAAGCTCCGTGACAACCGTTTACCACAGGCAGTTTTATGGGAAATCTTACATACTTCTTTAGAAAGAGCAAAGTTTTAACATGAATTTCATAATGTTAAAATAATGGTATCAGAGAAATGTAAGATGCTTGTTACCTGAATAAAGTAGCGATAAATGTGAAATAATTTGTCATAAAAGTAGTCAAAACAATGTAGTATTTGACTTCCATATAAAATACGAATTCACTATAACTGTACTCGTCCTTGCCAAAAAGCAACAGATGAAAAAGATGGTTCAGGTAATTGGCCAATGTATATTGTTTGGATGTTATAGAAGAACATCATCAATAAAAAACTTTTAAGAAAAACAAATAAAGCATAATGAGCCTTTAAAACGTTAGTTTAAACCCTCGTGGGGATCGATACCCCACAATCCCCTCTATACCCCCAGGGAGAATTTTACATTATTCTAAAGTTCCGCTCTTAATGTGCGTCTGCTTAAGCCGGTGCTTGGGGGCGTGGACGGTAACTTGCACTTTCCAGTACCGTCCATGAACAGGCTCAATCAAACCGAGCCTG